TTCCAAGGATTGCATTTCATACAAAGAGTGATGATGATGTTCTTGATGATGGTTATCGTTGGCGAAAATATGGTCAGAAATCTGTCAAGAACAATGCTCATCCAAGGTACTTGCACATATATATGCTTCTATTAATTAGTATATATGTAGTTATGTACGATCTATGACATCATGTCAAAGTAGATTTTCCAGATATGGAACCGACCAAAACTTTTTCATGGCTAGAAAACATTAGCTTAACAACCGGAACGATCTAGTTTTGTCTTAAAACACTGAACGATGTTGTAGTGACTTTCAGATAAATTGTATGAAAATATAACTCATATAACGTTGAAAGATCATAATTTCTCTATATAAGTATCATTTCTCTATCTAAATTCGAGAGTTTTGTTATAAAAATAGTGAATTTATGGGTCCAATATACATTAATGGCAAAAACTATTAATCAAAATCATTGTAATAAGGGACCCTTGTAATAATGGGTCCAAACAATACATATATAGTTTCATTCCACTACTTAAAAGTTCGCAATAAAAATGAAAATAGATTTTACATAAAGAAAACCAAAACTTGTATTTATTTTTTTCATACGAAATAAAATTATATGAATAGAGAAATAATAATAGTGTTTGACAAAATGCAGGAGCTATTACAGATGTACGTACCACACATGCAACGTGAAGAAACAAGTGCAAAGATTAGCTAAAGACCCAAACGTCGTCGTAACGACTTACGAAGGCGTTCATAACCATCCTTGTGAGAAACTCATGGAGACTCTTAATCCTCTCCTCAGGCAGCTCCAGTTCCTCTCAAGTTTCTCTAATCTCTGATTAATTTTAATTTTTTAAATTAATGTTGGTGTAATTAAGTTAAGCTGATTAAGGTGTTAATCACTTCACTGACCCACATCTTACAAAGAGAAAAGTGTATAGAACACATTCGAATTGAAACACATGTAACAGTTAAACATGATTGTTTTGTAATTTGTCTGCGTTCGGGAAGATGTGTTGATTTTAGTTAGCTTCGATTTGATATACCAATTACTAATTACGTTCAAAATCCAAGTCTTTATCATTCTGCGATTTTTTTTTGTTTTTTGGCAACATCTAAAATGCTAAGAATAATCGGTTTTTACAAGTTTCAGATTTTCAAACATTAGTTCGCGTTTTGGTTCGGAATTTATACCTTGGTTCCCAAAAAAAAAAAAATCTTTGTATTTTTTTAGAATAAAGACTATAATTCAGTCGAGTCACATGGATTCTATATGATATTGGAATGTGATTGAATATCCAAC